CGAAGGAAAGAAGCCAGTTGGTGTTCCATTAATTAGAATTGAGAATCTTATCGTACTGATGCAAAACTTAATCCAATGAACCCACCTACCACCAAAACCCAACTTCCTCATGGTGTCAAGCAGAAAGTTCCAAATGATCATATGCCTTTTCAATGTCCAATTTGCATAAGATGCCAGGCTTCTTGCTTAATATCCTTGCATCCACTCATTCATTGGCAATTAAAATGACATCCATTATTTGCCTACCTTTAATGAAAACCTTCTGTTGAGCATCCACCAGCTTATTCACTACTTTCTTAAGTCTCTCTGTCAATAACTTGGAGATGATTTTATAGATGCTACCTATCAAGCTGATACGCCTGAAGTCTTTCAATTCCCTGGCTCCCTCCTTCTTTGGAATCAATGCCACAAATGTGGCATTGAAACTCTTTTCAAAAATACCCTGCTCATAGAAGTTTTGAATTGCAGCTATTACTTCCTCGTTCACCACTTCCCAACATTGAATGAAGAAGGCCATTGAGTATTCATCAGGTCCAGGGGCTTTATCCCCTCCACATGCCTTCACACTATCCCAAATTTCCTGAATACCAAAATGACTTTGGAGCAATTGATTGTCTTCTGGAGTAAGAATAGGATAGTTCCTAAGATTACCTTGTGGTCTCCAAACCTCTTCTTCAGAATATAACTTTTGATAGAAGGTGACAATCTCTTTCTTGATATCACCATGATTCTGTATTAACTCCCCCTGTACTACCAGCTGCTCAATATGATTATATCTCCTATGGGAATTGGCGGTTCGGTGGAAAATTTTTGTATTCTTAAACCCTTGCTTCAGCCACAAGGCTCTGGATCTTTGCCTCCAGGCTACCTCCTCATGCTTTGCGATGTCCTCAAACTCCATAGCTAGGGCAGTTTTTGCATAAATTTCCTCTTCATTCAGAGGCCTCTGGTCATGAATCTCCTCCAATTGTGCAAGCTGGTTAAGCACATTTGTTTTCTGCAACTCCAGGTTTCCTTGTAAAGTTTTGCTCCATTCTTTAAGTTTTCCCTTCAAGGCTTTGAGCTTGAAGGCCAAAATAAAGTCAGGACTTCCTTCACAACTAAAGGAATTCCACCAATCTCTAACTCTATCTGTGAATCCATCTGTTTGCAGCCACCAATTTTCAAACTTAAAGTAAGATTTGACTGGATCCCAGTTGCCACATTGAAGCATCAGTGGTGAGTGGTCTGATGTTACTCTATGAAGTATTGATTGTTTGATGTTTCTAAATCCTTCATTCCAGATACCAGAAATCTGTCCAGTCTAGCAGCTATATTATGATTGTCACTTTTTCTCCATGTGTAGTTGCCTCCTGCTAATTGCATATCTACTAGTTCCATATCTTCAATAAAATCAGTGAAATCCTTCATCCCTCTTGTAATTCTGTTGCAGTTTTTCTTTTCTGATGGAAATCTCACAGTATTAAAATCTCCACAAACCACCCATGGTCCATCAAATAAACCCCTGGCCCCTGCCAATTCCCACCACACTTCTTCCCTGTCTCTACTGTCATTTGGTGCATACACACTAGATAAGTGCCAAATAAGTTCCTGAGATCTACCAGAAAACTTACATGTGATAGTATGAGACCCCAAGCTGCTAATTTCCCCATCCCATACCCTTTTGTCCCACAAAACAACTATACCCCCTCTAGTCCCACTAGCTTCTAATTGTGCAAAATTCCCCCACCTATTGGCTCATAACTCTTTTACAATCTCCCTGATATCCCCTTCTAACTTGGATTCTTGAAAACAAAAAACATCTGCTTTCCAGTTGTTCATCATACTTCTTATCAGAACTCTCTTCCTTTGACGATTTAACCCCATAACATTCCATGATACAATATTTACCTTCATTGTTCACTTATGACAATACATCCCCCCTTACTTCTAGTTCCATTACTCCTGAAATTACTCCCAATTTCCGGCCCCTTTCACTCTTTGAAACCCTTTCTTTTTGGGGTCTCCATCTCCTATAGTTCTGATTTCCCTTTGTTCTCTTGTCTTTTATTGTCGATTTTTGAAAAGAGCTCCAAAGCTTCTCTTTCACAACCTTGAAAGTTGACACCAAATTCCTTGCTAAGTCTAATAATGTTCTGATGAACCCAGATAGTTGCATCAAATTCTGGATCCTTCTCTTCCTCTAAACTTTGAAGGTTTAGAGGTACTGCTTCTTCAATTGCCCATCCAACAGCTTTCTCCATTTGTTTTGCTTGCATGTGTGTGTTGTAGGTTTCCAGTAGTTCATCTTGTGTACCTCTGTCTTCAAAAAGAGTCATATCATTGAACTCTTCAATTGGATTCTGTTGATCGTACTCCTTTCCTCCTTCCTGTTCTTTTCTGTTGTTGTCTCCCTCTGAAGACTCTTCTAGGCCTGATTTGATCGTATCTATTTCTTGACTATTTGCCTTTATCTCTTCACTAAAAGGATCGGGCCTGGGCCCTAATCCGGGTTCGGAATTATGGACCCTAAAAGAGATCTCCTCCGATACACATTGGGCCAAAATATCTGGGCTCAATGTCCTCTTAATAACCTGTTGTTCCCTATCCGGATTTGGAGTTAAAACTTGTGCCCCTTTCTCACGTGAGCTGTCACGTGTGGTTTTTAAATTCACATTACATGAAAGCTTTGAGCATCCCACGTGCCCCGTCATGTCAGAAATACATTGAGCCCCTCCCCTGGTACTTTGAGTAGCCTCTGTTATCCGAAGGTCCGATTGCCTCCCTCCTCCGTCTTCTCCGATACTGGTACGTACTGGAGCTTCACACCAAATTTGGATCTCCGATATTAAACCTTCAACTCCACCTTCACAGCTTTAGGATCTGAACTGCCATCACCTTTAACTTTTATTCTCGCCCATTTTAGGTGGTTTTTCAGTTCTGTTTCTTCTTCAGTTTGAATCCACCCACCGCAAAAATCCCCAACGTTTTTGAAAACATTATGGGACCACAATTGAAGAGGAAGCCCTACAATTCTGACCCCCACATGATTAATCTTCTCTTCTCTTGGAATAGAGCACACCGTCGGAAACCACCATTGAAGGTTAATTTTATGCTTTTTCCAACTCCAGTCTCCTTTCAGAACGTGGTCAACCACTAATTTAGAAGAAAATTCAAAAAGAAATCGATTGTAGCCCATCTCATAGATGTTGGTGCCGTGAGCCTGCTTCCAGTTGCTACTAACCCAACGACGAATTTCCGATAAGGCAGGGATATCTGTAATTTCTTCTGGCAAGCTACCCACCAAGCTCCTGCTTAGGAGATCATTCTGCATAGTGTTGGAATCTCCAGGAATACTAATGATATCACCTTTCGTTTGGATCGTAGCTTCATTCATCTCTTTGGAGGACCATTTATATCTTCTGGTAGTATCCGAGTACAAAAGACCTTTCTCTGTAATTTTGGGTGCATTTATAACTGTTTGTCTGACTTTGTAATTAATGAATCTTTCAATCTTCAAGGCAATGTCCAGCCATCCAGTATTAAATGCTATCTCCGGGATAATAATGACAGATCTCCTTCTCCCTTGAACACTGATTATGGTTATTTAGCGACCATACGTATTATAATTTCTTGCACAGAAAAACTCAAAAAACTGATCATGAAATTTCCATCTTTTCACGTGGTTCCCTTTAATTTTCGATGCTTCCTTCAAGGCCTCGCAAAGCCACGCCATTGTCTTCCTGCTGAAAGTGGTTCTTCTAATAAGATTTCTGCCGCGCTCCGTCCATTCATACCATTCCTCAGCTCTGGACTCACTTCTGATGATTTCATGACTTAAAACCCACTGCAAAATAAATGATATTAACACCATCTTTATTGGATAGTACTCTTAAACTTATATTGGTAAGGAACTGGTTAAAATCCGGCCACAACACCGGATTTCCCCCTGCAAAAGAGGATGGAACGAAAAGAAAGACTAAGAAGCTTTAGTCTTGGGAAATGTGCCTGGGAGCTATCTTATTATTATCTTGCTGCTGTTGTTTCTTTTTATCCCAATCTAGTGCTGGCAATATGGATAAAAGAAAATAGTTATCCACCCATATTACCCATTAAAAAATGGGTTGGATAATGAATTTTTTAAAACGGGTTGAATATGGATAAAAACCATATTATCCATTTAGAAAATGGATAACCAATGGATAACTAATGTGTTAACTTTTACATTTGTAAAACCTCAAATTAGAGGTTCCTTAAGTTTGGGAGACTAGGAATTCTCCCAAAAGTGATCATACTCAATAAGCCATGGATAATATGGATATCCATATTATCCGCCGGTTAACCTGTTTTTCATCTGTATGAAATATGAGTTGGGTCGGATAATTTATCCGTTTTTGCATTACCCGTTTTCGACCCGACTCACCCGTTTGCCACCCCTATCCCAATCTCTCTAGTTTAAACCAAACACAATTTATTTATACCCCGTATATCTCATTTTTAGTCCAATGAACCAAACATCTACCAATAAAAGTATATCCACTAAATAATCCCCTCATTATTATTCCCTGTATTATAATCTCATCATTATTAATTCCCATATCCGACCCGACCCGCCTGTTTGCCATCCCTATCCCAATCTCTCTAGTTTAAACCAAACACAAGTTTTATTTATACCCCGTATATCTCATTTTTAGTCCAATGAACCAAACATCTACAATAAAAGTATATCCACTAAATAATCCCCTCATTATTATTCCCTGCATTATAATCTCATCATTATTAATCCCAGGATAATTTGTTTCCAACCAAACAACCCCTAGATCTGTTGCATTGTTAACTCAAAGCCTAGATCTCCTGCAGGAAGCCTGTAAATGCATACTTTAGTTGTAGACTTTGGTTGCTTCTTCAGAGACCATTGTTTTAGAAAGAACTTGATCAGATACTTTGTTGCTCCACTATTCACTATTCACTTAGCTTGTTATATTATGCTTCATGAAGATGTATTTCTATTGTTTTAACAGAGCAGAGAAGACTTCAATTCTGTCTGATCTCATCAGAAAAACAAATGCCCAAGAAATGAAATGGATTATAATGATAATTCTGAAAGGTGTGATGATTTTTTGTCAATGCTTAATCTGTAGGATCTCCCTCCATACCCAATGATGCCAATTTCAATGTCTTCATCTTTCAGATCTTAAGTTGGGAATTAGTGAAAAGAGCATCTTCCATGAATTCCATCCTGATGCAGAGGACTTATTCAATGTCACATGCGATTTAAAACTAGTTTGTGAAAAGTTGAGGGACAGAAGTCAACGGCATAAACACCAGGTTTGCTTCAAGTTCTCATATTGAACCTTATGACATACTTCTTTTCCTGACTCGGTACTTTTGTTGGATATGTTATTCCACCAGATTTTTTTAAAATACAAATTTAACTGTAAAATCTCTTCTTTTTTTCTCACTTTAGTGACTAAGTGTATATTCCTGACCTATAATTTGGTAGATATTTGTTCACCGCTTGCAGTTGGTAAAGATCCTAAAGTCACTTCTTGGCCTAGAGATGAGCAAATGTGTTATTTCCTCAGCTAGAGTGCTTATGTTAATGGTCAGGTCCTACTAAATTCGTCTCTCATTGCCTTCCGTGGTCGAGCAATCTACTCTTTTATCAAAGCTTGATTTAGAAAGTCACCGATAAATGATTGGGCGTTTTGGGAAGAAAGGATAAGATGACAGGTTTTGTGAAGTGTTGGAAGCAATGGCTGAAGCAGTGATTAATTGATTTTCCTATGCTACATATTTAGATTTAGATTTCATCAGCAACTTTACTCTTGGTTGAAGGACTTTGAATTCTGAAGTAGGTGATTTTTTATCCTGCCTCCATTTCAATTTATGTGACACGCTTTCCTTATTACTCCTTTTTGAAAAGAATGACATATTTCTATACTTGGAGACAATTTAACTTTAAACTTTTCATTTAACCTATTTTACCATAATGAAAAGCTTTTATAGCCACATAGATGCTATGGCCCCACAAAGCTTTTACCCTTCAAACTTTTAAGTCCACAAGTTTTAACAATCTTCTTTTTTCTTCTTAAAACTCCGTGCCGAGTCAAACTACGTCACATAAATTGAACAGAGGGAGTATCTTTGTACTTTGTTCAATGTTTAAAATTAAAGAATTTGCAGTCGTGATTGAAGTTTTCAAGTGTGTTCCTTTACCTAGTGTGATGTAGATTGTTTAGGCTTGCATTGACCATTCTTTAGTATATTGAGTTTATTCATGCCTTAAAACAGAGCAATTTGGGAATGAGTTAGCTCTTTCAAATGGGCAAAGAAACTTGCTGCGTTGACCATAAATTAGTGCCCAAATTGTTGCATTATAAGTCATCCGGTTGTTTTAAACTTGCAATTACTTGTACGATGTACCCTAAGTAGTATTGACATGGTCGTGTCACTGCTTTGATTTTAAAAAAAAAAGGATGTGATGACAACATCATTTCAAACATGATACAATTTATGAGGGAAAAAAGGAACTAAAACTAAGCGTGCACGGTATGGCTAGGACACAAATATACTATGTAGAATACGTATGTCATTAAGTTATTATTGTTATGTGAGATTTGTGTATATGAAATCTCTTGTATTGCATATGTTGAAGTTATTAGAAGTAGGTATTATTTTTATGAGATGTTCTTACATAAATGGTTAATGGAAAGTGCAATGGAGTTCGACTATGGGTTGTTCTTTCTTTTTGAAGCTGAAGGGATGGCAACCTTGCATAGTCTACTGAGTCGAATCATGAATGGATCCACTAATTAGTTTTTTTCGATCAACCATGTTTGTCTAAGACTATAGCAAAGTAAAGCTGTTGCAACAAAGTACGACTGACGAGGCAATTGTTTGGCTTAAATCAACAACAACAACAACAACAACAACCCAGTATAATCCCATAAGTGGGGTCTGGGGAGGGTAGTGTGTACGCTGACTTACCCCTACCCTGGGGGTAGGGAGGCTGTTCCCGAATAGACCCTCGGCACAAATTGTTTGGCTTAAATCACAGGTACATAAATTTAGTAGAAGAAAAAATTTCAGGAAAAGATAGTTTTCTCAGTCTCAAGTAACTTATGCATTTATAGTCAATAGAACCATCAGCAATCCAGTGAAAATATGTGATGTTCCTTAAATTATAATAATTGTAGTTGAAGGCAATTTAGGGTTGGCTAACTCCTAAGCAATCTTCAACATCAATCCTGGTAGGAAATTCCTGAGTGTAGAAATCCAGATAAGGGTTATTTTCTCACAGTGAAGTAACTTGTGCAGTTACAGTAATGAGAAGGGTAAGCTATCCCCTCTCAAGGTCGTGTCCTACCTTTTGGAGATGAAAGAAATGAGGAAAGTTTCAATTTCGGTCCTTTTATAGGCTGAAGATATTGGGAAATTCCTGTAAGAGAGCCCATTTTTTTTCACCCGCACATAAGAAACAATGAAAGCAGAATTGTTATTTTTCTGCTATTACGTGCAGACGACAGGCCTCCGATGCATGCACATGATTGTCCGACAGACAGCTTTCAGTAAAATGCCCACAATTTTTTGTAGGAACGTCCAAATATTACGAACCATTTGATGCATTGTAAACTAGACTCCAAGTTCTACAAATTGCTTCAGAAACTATAGTCAAATTCCTGTTATATCAATAGTTGTGCATCCTTGAAGTTATGCTATGTTTCGCATTTCCCCCATCACTCTTTCAAAACCACTCTAAACTACCTCTACCCTTTGTCAGACATCCTTATCACCTTTCATAAGATTTCAGTGTTCTTACACCTTCGCAACACGTCAAACACCTCTTTGCACAACTAAGAAATGAATGTGAACGTAAAACTTAGCTAAAATCTTAGAGTGTGCAACAGTAAAGGAGTGGGAAGGTAAAGAATTTGTATCATATGCAGGGCAGTTGTAGAGAAGGCAGTAAAAGAGTGCCAAAGTAGAGAATTAGTATTTTATTGCTGTCAACAAAGTGATATAGAAATGATTCTGACATTTGTATCATTGTTCAAGTCGAATATGAAAATAATTTATCAATCAGGCAACTATGCTTCGAACCCATAATAACAATATTTAATCTTTATGTTATCCGTCATAACACAACCATCCTCCTTTGTTCGAACTTGGGACTGACTATGCGAAGCTCTCGTAAGCGGAATTTGAATGTGACAAGCATATACAAACATATTTCATATCAAGAAACAATGTTGAAAAGGTCTTTCCACGAAAGGAACTTGTTCCACAGCTCGTGGCAAAATTACAACAGTTAGTATGATCCTTTTAGTTTTTGAGGTGGTATGTCATTGATTACATCATGATGTTAATATCATTTAAGTTCTCCCGTCTCTAGTTTTACATTCTATACATGTCCAGCTGATGATTGCACCTGGTGTTGTTTTCCTCAGGACATTGAAGTTGGAAAAGCGGTCCGCCCTCAGCTGGCTCTTAGGGTCAGTAATGCATCTGCTGCGTGGAAAAAGGTTTTCTCAGATTTGCTATTTTATCTCGTTGTTTATCCCCTCTCTCTCTCTCTCCCCCTCCCTTTCACACACCAAGTCTTTCTAGCGATGGTAGATTTACTATTAATTAACTTTGTCTCATGCTAAACTTGTTAATATGTCAACAGCTTCATGGGAAGGAAGTAGTTGTTGAGTGCAAATTTGACGGGGATCGTATCCAGATTCATAAAAATAATTCTGACCTAAACTTCTTCTCAAGGTACCATTTTCATTGCTTTATATCTAGTTCCTTCCTTTTGTTGCATTTCCTTGGCATTATTTAATCCTTGCTATTTTGGGTCACAAATATTTGCTCAATTTATCTAAATGAGTAAGGGGCATTTTCATATATACCCATTTTTGGGCCACCAGTGAAGTTATACCCGTATTGCACAAAATTTTGCAAAGTGTACCCGCTGTCCCAATTGGATCTTAAGTAGTTCAATCTTTTCAATGCAACTTCAGAAATCAAATCTGAAATTCTTCTTTCTTTTAAATGCTACTTCTGAAATTCGAATGTAAAGTAGTTCAATCTTTTCAATGCAACTTCACAAATCAAATCCGGTGTTCTTCCATCTTTCAAATACAAATTTAGAAATTCAAATCTTAAGTAGTTCAATCTATTGAATACAACTTCAGATTTCGAATCTTGAGTTCTGAAACATAAACTTGTTCTTCGAATTTCAACAATCCAATACACGATTCAATACCCAAATCTTCTCCAAATGAGCTCAAATTTGAAACATAACTTTTAAATATCATAAAGAACAAATGTCAATCATCAAATTGTCAAAACAACAATAAATTTAGCAAACTCATTTTGCAACTAAGAAGAAGAAGAAAACAATAGTAAAGAAGAAGAGAAAAGTGTATGTATCTGAAGTTATCCCAAAATTGGGTATCAGTTAAACTTTTTTAAAAAGTGGGTACAAATTCAATTGGTGGCGCAAAACTGGGGGTCAGAAGAAAATTTTACGATGAGTAAACGAATTTTTTCTGTTGTGTCCTACTGAATTTTAATTTTTGTACTTTCCGAGTAAATCTTGATATGCATACGCTATGGTTCTCATAATGAATTATTATAGGCTTATATTGCTTTTCTGAGCGCGATTATTTACTCAATTTTCATGCAGAAACTTTTTTGATCATCAAGAGTATGCTCATGGAATGTCAGATGTTATTACACAGAATATTCTTGTTAACAAGTAAGCGAACAGATATCTCAATCGCAAAACTTCCCTTCTTCTCTTTTTACCCATTGTTTTTCAATATCACCCTGTGATTTGTTTATTGTTGTTTCATGTCTAGATTTGCTACCAAATCCACCAAATGCCTATCAATCTTACCCTGGACTCATATATACTTTGTTTGCCTGTTTATGAACTTAGTTTCAACTCTTGACTGTGAAAATGTTGTGGGGCTTGATTTTATGATCACGTCATGTCTCTCATTTCCCTGTCGGTCTCTCTCTCTCTCTCTCTCTCTCTCTCTCTCTCTCTTTCTCTCTTTCTCGGTCAATTTGGGATGGGATGCAAGGTTGTATAATGAGAAATTTTGGGCGATTGGCCCAGATTGATAATGTAGCATAAGTTCTGTTTAAAGAAGAGAGGAAGAATTAACTTACTTTGTGGAGGAGCTCCGAACAGCCATGAGCAGCATGGTGATAGAAATCTTTCTTTCAGCTTTTGGACGCTGTACATCCCTAATATCTGGTGTGAAATGAAGTGAAGTTTTTAGTTTATCTTTTATTGATGGCATCAAGTATCTCTAATAACTTGTTATTTTCTGAAATTAAAAGAATATGCATTGTTATTTTCTGAACTGGGCAGAGCTTGGATAGCTATATCTATTGCCTTTATCTTGCTTGTAATGAAGGGCACTTACCTTTTTGCAACTATGGTTCGCCTTGCCTCTTTTCTTTTGATCAGGTGCATACTTGATGGTGAAATGCTGGTTTGGGATGCATCAATGAACCGCTTTGCAGAGTTTGGTTCCAATCAAGAAATAGGTATTTATGATCTTTGATTGACATTTATTTGAAATCTATTTGTTTTGTCTACAGATGCATTTTCCATTTTTGCTGATGATATCTAATCCATTGTGAACCTATCTTTGCGTAATTAATTGCCTGACTTCTCATTGTGAATTTCTTACCTTTTTCATAGCAAAGGCTGCAAGAGAGGGTCTTGATAGTGATAGGCAGGTTTGTCACGAGAACATTACTATTTTATTGAGTCATTCCTACAAAAACTTAGCATAATGACTTATGTTTTGGTTGTGATGCAGTTGTGCTGTATCCTTTTCTCTCGGCAACTGTGTTCAAGTTTGGCAGTGTTCTCAACAGGAGATGAGTGAGTGTGTTGATGTCAGCGATTCTTGTATTTAGAGTTCCATACAGTTGGTTGGCTTCTATCTTTCTTAACATTAAATGTCAATAGACATTGCATTCGATATTCTTTATGTTGGGGATACCAGTGTTATTCACCGAAGCTTGAAGGAACGTCAAGAGATTCTCCAGAAAGTCGTGAAGCCCATAAAAGGCCGTTTAGAAATTTTAGTCCCTAATGGCGGTCTTAATGCTCATCGTCCTTCTGGTAAGGATGCTCTTCGATTCAATAGGTTGTTAGTTATACTTCTTTTTTGCATGCTTCACATTCTATTCAGCAATAATGGTTGTTTCAATCTCCTGAAGTTTCTGGTGATATTAAGATCTATATGTGGTTTTATTTCAATGAGATGCCCGTGCCAAGAACCAAAGCTTCTCCATTTGTCCTCATCCCAGCTGGGGAATATGTGAAAATCCACCATGGTCTAATGCTGTAAACTTTGTTATATTGTTCAGACTCAAGAGTATGTGCCTAGAAGTGTGACTAGTATAGTCCTCCCCATAATTAAGTTAATTGCAGAAATCTGAAATCTATATAACTTTAGAAAGCACCTAAAGAGTTCCCTAATTGTCGACGTTCATGTCCCATCAATTTCAAAAAATAATACATCTTTGTTGTGCTTTCTTTGGTAATATTACATCAATAAAAACAAAATTAGTAAAAGCTTCTGGATGATTATTTTTTTAAATTTGTTCGACAACTTAGGGTTCCCCCCACTGAGCACATGCCCAATTGCAAAGAATAGCTTGTTTTCTTTCTTTTCTTTTTCCCTTATCTTTTTCAACAAAACAGCAGATGCTACTATTATTGAAGTAAAGCAATAAGCTATACAACAGAGTTGAAGGTCTCATTTAGGCTATGTTGCGCGGACTCTCCAAAATGCTGCCGCACTCGTGTCGTATCCTCCAAAAATATATTACTTTTGGAAGATCCAACACACACCCAATGACATTTCGTAGAGTCCGAGCAACAAAGCATTTAGGCAGGAAAATAAGTGAGTCAGACACTTTGAAGAGAGAAGTGGATAAACGTGTCATATGATGACTACAAGTCTTTCGTTTTCGAAGGAGACATGATTCAGGAATAGCTTTTGATCTGATTTTTGCTCCTCTTTCTTACATGTATACATTAAAAAAGCCAGTCCTTAATAAATGCTTAGATGTCTCATTATATTGGAAACAAGACTAACAAATTGGATATAAGTAACTATCTTGTGAACACGTAGAACTTTTGCACACAGTTTTAGTATGGCTCCTTCTTTCTTGGACTACATGCTTTGACATAATTATGCATATTTTAGTTCTCATCCCTCGAAGGTACCTATTATTAAAACAAAACAGGAGATAATTAGCACACATACAACAACAACACGTCTTAGTTCCAAACAAGATGGATCAGCTATATAACTCTTCACTGCTGATGTTATTCCATTTAAGCTCACCTCATGTCAATATTATACAATTACAAATAAAAGATATTAGAAGTTCTCTATAGTTTCTGAACATATAAATCTCTTAAAGGCTAAACCACTCCTAGAAAGCACACGATCTATAGTAAAAGTGCTAACATGTTTAAACCATATTCTCAACTAATAGGTATCGCCTATATAGAACTTTTTCTTTCATTGTGCCTTATCGTTCCTTAAGTCTGCAGGGATCTATAAAGATCGTTGGTCTTTTGAGACAACTTCCTTCCATGTGATTTTAGGTCTACTTCATCCTCTTTTAACACTTCAACTCACTATAGTTTCACATCTACCAACCGGTGCATCAGAGGTCGACATAGGAGATGACCGAACCATATCAAGCGACCTTCTCTCATTTTATCCTTGATTTGTGCTACTTGAACCTTCTTGTGAATATGGTCATTTCTACTTTTCTCTTATCTTGTATGACTATACATCCATCTTAACATTTGCATACCTGCAACAATTATCTTATGGATGTGTTAACTGTAGAGGCCCAAAATTCACTCTCATATAGCATTGGTGGTCTATGTTTGTTTTATAGAAATTACCTTTTACTTTGGTAGGCATCTTTCTATCATATAAAACCCCTGTAGCACTTCTCTATTTTAACCATTAGATTTTACTTCTAATTTTTTTTGATGAAGAACCATGCGATTGTAACTTTATGTTTAACATCTTTATCAATCATTCCATTCTCCTGGAACAACAAGCCTAAACATTTGAATTGTTTGCATTAAGACACTAAATTCCATCTAATTTCACCTCAATTTTCTTATGTCGATTAAACTTGCAATGTATATATTCGGTCTTTCTTCTACTTGTTCTAAAACTCATACTCGCTATAGTGCTTCTCCAAAGTTTAAGCTTTTGGTTGATATGCTCGCTGTTTTCATCAATTACCACAACATCATCAGCAATTACTATCCACTATGGGACCTCATCTTATATTGTGTTGGTTAGCTCATCCATAACTACAGTGAATAAGTAGGGGTTAATGCCGATCGCCGAAGTAAACCCCAGGCTACGAGGATCTCCTTTGTATCTCTTACTACTGTTCTCACGCTAGTGACGAGGCATTTATATATATTTATTTGAAAAATATGAACACCCACTAAGAGCATTTCTTGGCACTCTATCATATGATTTTTCCAGATCAATGAACACCATGTGCAAAACTGCAGATCGTCCTTCCTCTCGCGATAAACTTCCATCAATCTCCTTAGCAAATTATAGCCTTCGTTTTAGATCTACCGGGCATAAATCCAAACTGATTCTCTGTCATTCTTGTAATATCCCCAAGTCTACGCTTTATCACTCTTCGCTAGAGTTTCTTTGTATGTCTCATAACTTTAATGCCACGATAGTTTGCACAACTTTGAATGTCTCCTTTGTTTTTATAAATAGGAATTAGGATACTCTTTCTCCACTCGTTGGGCATCCTACTACTTCTTAGTATAACATTAAATAGCTTGCTAAGCCTTCTACTCCTGCCTCTCCAAGACACTGCCAAACCTCAATGGAGATACCAACTAGAACACGAGCTTTTCTAATCCTCATATGTTTCATGGCATCCCTTACCTCGTATCCTTTACCTATGCTGGCCTAATTCTATGTGTAGCTAAAGTTTCTATTGTGCACATATATTTGGAGACCTAGAATGTTGTTATCATGGTTCAAGTTGAACAATTTATCACCGTAGCCTTTGTTATCTCCCCTTGATCTCATTACCTCCTGTCAACACTCGTTGAGAATCGTCTTTAATACACTTACCTGATTTAAGTCCTCCTCTTCTCTATCAATCGTGTTAGTTTAAACATCTCTTTTTTCCCTTCCTGTTTTCCTAGATTTTTCATTTTTGTACAAGCTATCTCGGGCTTCCTCTCGAGCTTTACTAATAGCTTTCTTAGCTTTTCTCTTAGCTCTCTTGTACTCTGCAAAGGTTCTCCACCTTCTGCTTTTGACAACTTCCTATAGCACTGTTTTTAGCTCTAATTCTTTGCACCTCCTCATTCCGCCACAAATATTCATGATGCCGAGGTTCTACACCTTTAGACTTACCTAACACTTTGCTTGTTACTCTTTTAATGCAACCTGACATTTCCTCCATGGAATGTTCCATCACCCTCCATGTCCCACGCTTCCTCCCTAGTTTTTCTTGAAAAGCTAACTGGTTAGCATCCTTTAATGCCGACCACTGAGTTCTCGGTTGCTTGCAAGTTGTCTCCTTCCTCACTCTCCCCTTACGATTTACAGTTTACATCCAAGACCACCAACCTATCTGGGTGGTCATCGCTTCTCCTGATATAACCTTATAGTCCTTACACGTGGTCCTATCACGCCTTCTAGTAAGAATAAGTTCCTGTTTTTTTGTAGAGTCAGCTAAGTTTTCTACTTTCACATCACAAACGTGTAGTACTCGCAGCATGATTGTACTGAAATTCCCAAATTGCTTATATGTCAGCAGGTAGGACGATGGGAAACTCCTCAAAACAAACTGCCTCTTTTATAATAGTATTAACTTCTAACTATAGTAAGTGGAAGTTGCATATATTGCTTGCTTTAGTTGTGTTCTTATTTGTTTATTGTTTGACTGCTTAGNTTATATATATATATATATATATATATATATATATATATGTATGTATGTATGTATGTGTGTGTGTGTGTGTGTATTATATATGTATGTAGTGTGTGTGTGTATTATATATGTATGTAGTGTGTGTGTGTGTGTGTGTGTTTGTGTGTGTATATATTATTTTTATTTCCTTGGACACACATGTAGCTGCTGATGTTCAAAGGTAAAATGTGATCTTGCTTCTTGATGTTCAAATGCATGGAAGAATTACTTGAAACTTTTAAAGAACTGATTGGAGAATAGTTTCTATGTCAAAAATTATTTTGACTAGTAGCATTGCAATTTGAGGGATTAAGGAAAATATGTGCGTCATAAAATGCAGAGAGTATGATTGTGGACGTATATTCTGGCTTCATGGCTGTGCAAAAGCCAGATTAACATCGTATTTTCAAAAGTTGTCTTTGCAAATACATTTCAAACTAATTTTGAAGCTAAAATCTTGGAAGTGTAGTATCTTGCGAATGAGAAAAGAAAAGAATGACTTTATACTCTCGTTTAGAACTAGCTTTTACTGGAAAGTTAAATGGATAGCCATCATATTTTCTGGCTGTATTTGTTTTGAATCTGATTTCCCTTCTTCAGAGAGCCTAATATATGTGATAAATTTGGTTCATTTCAGAACAAGTTTGTGAAATTACCTGATGATCTATTAGCAGCTATGCTTTTAGAGATCTTATGTGCTACCTGTAGTAGCATCGCTACTGTTCAACTACTGGGTGACTGGGGAAAGGAAGATGTCACAAAAGGCGAAGATGCAGAGACAAATGCTTTTGCGCCTAACTTCCGCTCTTCGTTTCTTGTGGTTAAGAATTGGTTCTTACTGGAGTACTTGAAATTTCTTTTACCTGTAACATAGAAGTAATCAAAGTTCGGTAACTGACTGGTGATTCTAGCTACTTTTTCTTGGCAAATGAAGAGACATATAACAGAGTGCATTTGATTTTCAATCCCTTTCTAGTTTTTTCTTTAAGCTGTCACTTTGGGTGAAACGTTCTTCATTGCTGAACTCCTATTCATGCTTTTAGGATTTCTACTTACAGTGTATCATCTTTTTTTTTTTAAACGGTAACGTTTGTATATATTAAAGAGGTCTGTACATAGGTTGTACTGAAAACCATATTTACAAGTGAGCAAAAGAGAGAAGAAACTGTTCTGCAGTCCTAGCTAGATTCTAGAATTTCTAGGATTGATATAGTATCTTCTATGTAAACCTGTTTACACCAAAAACAGAAAAGCAGAACACAATTTAGTTTGATCTTTTGCACTGAGTTGCAATGTATCATCTACTTTTAATCAATGATATATCATGTTACCTTCCAAAAGAACCTACAAATTATAGTTTTAAGAGTATATGCAGATATATATGCTTTCCCTTAAGTGTCCCACATTGGTGGAAGAAATGAATTGTTGTCTCCCTATATGGTCATGGACAATTCTCACCTCATGAGTTAGTTTTTGGGATTAAGTTTAAGCGCAAGGTCCATGTCTTATCATGATATAAGAGCCAGATCCATTCTTATTCTTGATTTACCCAATGTTGAGCCCCCATGTTATGTTATCTGTGCTCCAGTGGTGTGCGGCGGAATGTTAAGTATCCCAATTAGGGATGGAAGCTGTTCTCTCCTTACATGGTCTTGGCAATCCTCAATTTATGAGTTAACTTTTGGAGTTGAATTAGGCCCAAGGTCCATTTTGTATTGGGTACAAAATAGCCAATGTTCTTGGTGGTGAAGCGTCCTTTTTCCTTTTCTTTTAGTTGTTTTGGTCCAGCCAATGTTCTTTTAGCTTTTTGAAGCATGACACTGAGGGGGTGACCACCCGACTCTTTGAACTCCAATTAACAATCAGTTCATGACCATCCATTGGAACCTCAATCATTTGTCATGCTGTCTATCCCTTGATTTTAAACAGCATGAAATAATTTCTAACTTAATATATTTGTACTGATTATGAAAGTAACATGCTTAATATATTTGTACTGATAATCAAAGTAACATGCTTTTCTCCAAAGATGAGTTAGTTTCCTTAAGAGGTGACCTCTTGGACACCTTGAAATACACATTAGGAGGTAAGGGCAACAAGTTATAGTAATATATGAACTTATCAAAAAACAAATGTTATAGTAATATATGTATATTACTACTTACTAGTGTATAATCTATATTTATGCTATCTCATTGTCCAAACCTGTTAAGTGTAGTGGTTTTCTGTCTGGTTTATTCCAGCAAAGAGTTCTGCAATGTAATTAGCTCCAAATATCATGGATCTATTTAGATTTTTCTTGATATGATTATCGGAGATTCTCAGTGGTGTTGTGCTTCTACACGAGGTTTTTAAGGGAATGTTCACTTACACGAATAAGAAGTTTTGGGTTTAGGCCTCGACCTTTTTTCTTCTTTCGTTCCTCTCTCTCTCTCTCTCTCTCTCTCTCTCTCTCTCTCTCTCTCTTTGTGATCGGATATCTAGGGCTTAAGCTTATGGGTGAGTAAACCAGAGATCTGGCCATTGGTCAAGAGTTTCGTATTATTCAGTTTCAACTACAGATATTCCCATGCCTAACGAATAATGACTAAGTTTCCTAATGATTATTTAGTGTATGAGTTTCTTATTTGATTTAATGTGAACTGTTATTCCCAGTAGTTATGTAAATTCTTATACGTATAATTGGTGGTCTCTTCAGAGATGAAGGAATTGTTTTGAAAGACCTAACTTCAAAATGGGAACCCAGTGATCGGAGTGGAAAATGGCTAAAGTTGAAGCCTGAATATGTTCGAGCTGGCTCTGATTTGGATGTTCTTATTATTGGTTTGTATTGCTTATGGAAGGTTTCTGTTTCTGCTTTTTGTGCCAAGTATTCTCTCCAGGCTAACTTTACATTGTCAACAGGAGGCTACTATGGTTCTGGGCGCCATGGAGGAGAGGTGGAAGATTCCACCTTCTACATTACTTATTTGTTTGTCCATTTATTTGTTTATATTTTTATGAGTTAAACTCTAAATTTGCCATTGGATATTAGGTAGCTCAATTTCTGGTTGGTCTTGCAGAGCGTCCAGCTCCAAATACATATCCCCGAAGGTATATATATGTTTTTGAAAAGAAAGAGTCGCCTTATCTTGTCAAATATTTATCTCTCTTTTGAAAAATAAATTTGTTGAATTGAATGCGTGTGAAAATTTTGTCATTTCTTTTATGATTTTGTGAGTGGAACAAGAGTTTTTGAAAATTCTTTCAAAAGCACCTGGAAACGACAGCTTCAAAAAACAGTTTTGCAAATAAAGTTCCAAAAAACTTAAACAAATACCAACTTGAAGATTTATTTCACAAGTTCTGGAAAAGAGTTCATGGACGGATGTCAGATGTTACAAAGTAACTATGTCATACAAGTTTTAGTGAGGAGAGTAGTGTTTTGGTCAATTTGTGTATGCACCAATATGTACTCTAGTTGAGATGCCTATTCTTCCAATCTCTACTTTGAAATGTTTGCTATTCCCAAGTATAGCAAGTCTTTAAATTGAAAGGTTGCAAAGACTTTAAGCAAATGTTAACTTGACAATAATCTTTTGCTAATTTTTATTAGAGGGTGATATGCATTCAAAAGAAACAAAACGTGTCTAAAAGAAACAAAACGTGCCTAAAAGAAACATAAGGATTGTTTCCTTTTGCTTAGTTTTACTTTTAAAGTGTTCCACATTAGTTGAGAGAATGTGTTGTTGTCTCCTTATATAATTGGCAATCCTCATCTCATGAACTAGCTTTTGAGGTTTCTTAACATGGTATTCAACATGGTATCTGAGATAGACCCATCCATATTCTTGGTTTACCAATTTTTGGGCCCCTATGTTATATAATCCACACACTAGATGTCCATTGCTGACCGTACAACAGAGTGTTAAGTGTTCCACATTGTTTAAGAGAATGGTTGTTGTTTTCTTATATGGTCTTGGAAAATTCTCACGTTATACTAGCTTTTGTCTTTTGCGACTGAGTTAGGTCCAAGATCCATTTTATTAGCAATATATATATAGTCTGTTATCTGTTAGACTTAATTCTTCTTTCCGTCATATAACTTCTCTAAAGAATATTTTTGCTGTATACATTGGCTATTATAGTAACTGTAGTCCTATCAGTGGAGTCATTTGTTGCATCATTGTGTTAATATCATGGCTTACACCAGAGAGGAGACATAACCTATCATCTTGATCCTATTAATAAGTTTGTTTTCTTTGAACATCATTCCTGGGCTATTAATAAGCATTCTTGACAAAGTCAGGAGTAGTTGTTGATTTAATGATTGGTAATGGAATTGTATGTTGCTTGAGATTTGGCTTTTGACTGCTTCCGTAGATAAGTTAAACTTGACTTCACCACTGATGTATAGTCGGTCTTGAGTAAGTGTTATACTCTATGCTGCATCAGCTAGTTTAATTAGCCTTAAATTTCAGGAAAGGAACATTTTTTTTTGAGCATTACAGTGTTATATCTTTGAACATTGAGTTTGAAATTATATCTAGCATGGAAAGCATCATATCTATATCTGAATTTCGTTCTGTGAAGTAATTCAGTGGGATTATGAGCCTTTTCAGTTTTCTGAAAGGTTTTCAACGTCTTTTAATAGTGAAAAGAGTGTAAATCATTTGGATTAGGATGACTGATGTGTATTTCCCTATACTTCAATACTCTGTGGATTCTGATTTTTGCATAATTTTGCAGGTTCATTTCTTTTTGCAGAGTGGGCACTGGAGTTTCTGATGAGGAACGTAATACCATAGTAACTCGATTAAAGCCCTATTTCCGGCAAGAATTCCGTCGATGCAGCTTGAGTTGGATATTGTTTTCTGTTGTACCTTTTGTTCTTGCACTATCCAAGAATGCTTTTCTTGCTTGTTGCACCTTATCTAATGAAAAAATTATACTCCCTCCGTTTCAATTTAGATGAGGTAGTTTGATTCGGCACGGAGTTTAAGAAAAAGAAGAAGACTTTTGAAACTTGTGGTCTTAAAAGCTTAAGGGGTAAAAACTTTGTGGAGCCATGACATTTGTGTGGATATAAAAGCTTCTCATTAAGGGTTAAATGGATAAAATGAAGAGTTTAAAGCTGAATTATTTCCAAATTTAGAAATGTGTCATTTATTTTGGAACAGACTAAAAAGGAAAGTACCTTATCTAATTTGAAACGGAGGGAGTAGTGTTTTACTTTTGGTGACTGTCAGAGTTGCAGAGTATACCAATTTCGGTAAAAGTGCTTTTGTTTCGGTGGACTTCTGGTTGTCCACCGACATTATTATCCACTTTAATATTCTTTCAGATAAATGTTGTATAAATGTTTGAAGATTTGGAAAATAAAAAAGAGAATTTTAAATGTCTATATAACATAGTCCACCACAAAGCTGCATGGATCTTTGATTAGGTGGATTACTTTAGACAGAATACTCAGTTTGTTGCATATCGTGCTAATACTGGCGCATTCATTTTGGCAGGAAGTATGAGTACCCGAAGCAGGCACCACCAACGTTTTATCAAGTAACAAATAATGCAAAAGAGCGACCAGACGTGTGGGTTGAAAGTCCAGAGAAGTAGGCCACTTTGACGAATCTCGCAATTGGTGTTAATCATGCAATTATGTATCTGACTCCTGTGTATCATTGCAGATCCATCATTGTTTCGATTACAAGTGACATTAGAACAATAAGAACTGAGGTACAGCTGGAGTAGAAGTCTTTCCTTCCCCATTTGTTAGCAATATATGCTTATTGCTCATATGAAAGCAGTGAGAGTTGAAAGCCTGGGGAATTTGTTTTCTGTAATTTATTTTCTATTCAATTATTTACTCAATAGTTGCATGAATTGATCAATTTATGAGACGCTTGAAATCCGCATCACTCTATCTATTCCAGTATGCCTATATCTCCAACGTGATGATGAAAGTTTGATCAGTAGAATTCATTTTCTGTTCTTTCCAGGTATTTGCTGCTCCATACAGCTTGAGATTTCCACGTATTGATCGAGTGAGATATGAAAAGCCTTGGCATGAGTGTCTTGATGTGCAATGTTAGTGTCTTGTTACATTGGTTTTTGATGTGTATTTTTGCAACTTTGTCTGGTGCATTATGTTCCTTGATTCTATTCTCGTGTTCGACTTATAGCAGAATGTTTTGTTATTCCTGTCCCAGCATTTGTTGACCTGGTACATTCGAGCAATGGTACCACGCAGAGGGAGGCAGATTATGGAGTTGGGCAGGATCATGAACCAAAGGCCATTAGGTCGTCAAGAAAACGAGGGAAAAAGAATGTTTCTGCAGTTCCTTCTCATTTTGTACAGACTGACGTGTCTCACATCAAGGGTGAAACGTCAGTGTTCTCTAACATGGTGTTCTGTATCCTCATCTATGATGTCAAAGCAAAAATATACATTACTAAGCTGTCTTGTAGTTTTAACTGTAAGATGTACTTTGTAATTTTGGTCCTTTTTTTTTGCTTTAGTCTGGTCAATGGGTCATATCATACGTGATGTTTGTATCATAGAACAGAGAATTTTGTCAGTTGTTTCTTAAGTTTATTCTGCCTTAAGAATGGATGGGGGAATTAGCTTTTGTGCCTCAACTTTTAGCTCTATGTGCTTATTGCATGTTATCTGTCAGTCGTATTACATGCTAACATATATTTAAATTATTTTAAGAAATATTTGTCACCTAAGTATAATGGGTATCCTTGACGATACCAGATTTTGCTAATGTGCCTTCATCACATACACTTGATTCCATGCACAAAATGGTGGTCGAGCATGGGGGTTCTTTCTCCATGAATTTGAATAACTCAGTTACTCACTGTATAGCAGCTGAAAATAGAGGTTTCTCTCTCTCTCTCTCTCTCTCTCTCTCTCTCTCTCTCTCTCTCTCCCCCACCCCCCTCCTTCCAGCTGCATGCATCGTTATTTAAAGCGACTGCATTATTGCTTGAAGCGATGAAGCGAGCGGTTATCGCTTCATTGGTGAAGCCATGCTCTTTAGAGAAGTTTGTGCTTCAACAATAGAGCATAAATTGATTCCAACGAGAATCAGTCACCTCTTTGAATATCAACTTTCAGGAGTTAGATTAGTCATTAGTATCAACATTTAGTATATTTGATGTTGAAATAAGTTATTTTAGTTGAAATTTAACTTTTATTGTACTTAATTGATTGATGTTTGATATTTTATCAAATTTCATGTAAATTGTGCACTTCACTAAACAGAAGCGTGCACTTCACTTCTCTCTTTCGCTCAAGCCTCATGGAGCTTGTTGCTTTTTTTGCGCTTTTCGCTTTAGAAAACATTTGGTGTGTGGAGATAGAAAAGTTCATGTGAAAACCCATATCAGCTTTGCTCCACTATACATTACTAGGAATTATTCTTTTTGTAAAAACAGGTATCAAGTTTCAAGCTGCAAAACTTCATGGAGATGTTATTCACTGCTCTTGGCTCTTTGATTGCTGTCTGCAAAAGAGGCTCCTTCCTTTACAGCCAAAGTTAGTTTGCATTTCAGTTTTTCTCGTCTTGTTCTCTCTTCCTGTATTTGGAGTTCCATGTGATCTGCGATTCCTTTGACTTTTCTTTCTTGACTCTTACTGAAGGTATTTTCTTTTCCTTTCTGATTCAACAAAGAGAAAGTTGGAAGCAGAAGTGGATGAATATTGTGATTCTTTCTACTCTGACCTCAGCGTCAAAGACATTAGAAAGGTATAATTTGGTATAATTATCTGCTACAAAATATTATACGTATAGCTTCAGCATTAGGAGCAGTTACTGTAAATTGTTTATCAAGCAGCTGACTGCCTATCTTCTTTGATTATGTCCGTTTTATGTCTTTCTTATTCAGCTTTTGAGCGACATAGAACGCTCCGAAGACTCCAAAACTGTTGAGTACTACAAGAAAAAGTACTGTCCCAAGGATAAATGGGCTCGATTTCATGGTTGCTGCATTTACTTTTTCATTCCAGAGCAGTGTTTGTGAGAATTTCTATCTTTTCTGTTTAATTGTGGAATTAGATTCTGTATTTGGGTATCAGTATGTCGATGTGGTTGTTATTTGGTAGAGGCTTAATGGCTCTGCTTTGTGTTTCAGGAAATATTCAGATTGCAAGGCTTTAGTGGAACTCGCTACGAGAAGGATGAAAGTTGAAATTTCTGTGGGTGGTGGGAAAGTTGGTGACAATCTTTGTCATGTTACCCATGTGGTGGTCATGTCTCTACCAGACTTTGATGTAAATTTCAGTGAAGTTTTAAATAGGTAATTTACCAATCTATTTTATTTTTCAGAAAGTAAGATGATCACCTTTTATATTGAAACTTCAAAACCGGCATCCTAGTGGTTACCAACCTCTTCCATTTTGTAGACTTCGTGACTTGTAATTTTATCTCAAGTTGCAAAATAGATTTTATATCTAATAATTCTCTTGGGAAATTGTGATAGTGAATGTTGGGCTGCTAAAGTACGACATATCCACAAGATAAGTGTTGCACAAACGCAGATGATGAGATAGATGTGCGGTGGTGCAAGATTAGATAAATTAAAAATGATCACATCTGCGAGAAGGTGCATTGAGGATGAAATGAGAGAAAACCGCTTGAGATGGTTTGATCATGTCCTACATTGGCCTACAGATGACTGGTCTGTTGGTGTGAACTATGATGAGTGTAGGTGTTAAAAGGGGATGGGATGGACCTAAAATCACATGTAAGGAAGTTATCTCGAAAGACCAAAAATTCTTGGAATCAATGTAGACTTAGTGAAAGATAGGGCACAATGGAAGGAAAAAAATTTCCATATAGGTGATTTCTACTAGTTGGGATTAGGTTTTAGTTGTTAGAGAACTTCTAGTATTATTATTATTACTATTATTTATATGCTGACTTGATTGTTTTTATTTTATTAAGTATGATAATGACATGATTTGAGTTTAAATAGAGGAGGATTTATATAGCCAATCTCAACTTGTTTGGAACTGAGGCATAGTTGTTGTTGTTGTTGTTCAATAAAGGTAGTATAACCCACCTGCAGCATTAGTTAAATATGGTCCATCTACAGCAACCGTTAGACTGTGTTGGCTAATATTCTTGTCTATGAAGATTGAAGATCATTGTTTTTATTATCGAGTAGCTTTGTCACGTCCCAAATGATATATTGATTGTGAAGGTATAACACAATGTTCAGCTGGAAATATTTCATGTAAACTTCTCCATTATTAGGCATATTTCTGTTGACTGTGTATTGATATTCCCATAGGAAACTGGAGCAAAGTGGTTAAGTTATTATCCTCTTTGTGTATGTGCTAGTCAGATCAGTAGTAAGACTTGTTGAGACTTGAACCTCCATATCGTTTTGTTCAGGTTATAGGTTATACGATACATTTAAGATTTTCACGAAATTTTTAGAGCTCTAATGCGCTATATTAGTTCTTTTCACCAGATGCCAATAACTGCAAACAGTAGCTTGCCTGCATTACAGGGAGAACAAAGGAATGAGATATAATTGTGTGTCCTTCCCTAGTCCATTTGGGCAACCCCCTATCCTCTTTTGAACACAAGTCTGTGTCTATTTATATTTTTTATGTCGAATGTCTGTATTTATATTGGGACTAATTTATGGCATTAATTTCATAGATCTGGTTTTACTCCAATTTCGCTAAAGAGTAAATTGTTTCAGTTTTTTTTTTGGTGTTGTCAAATGTTCTCCACTTTCTTTACTAACCTTTTTGTTACTGTCCTATGCTTTTTGGATAGTTTCCCTTCTCCAAAGTTAATGCGATCAACCTTAAAAAAAAAGGAAAAGAATGTAGTCTGTAGCTAAATCAGTAAAATCTTTTGCTAAACCGGCTTAATGACGGATTTTAATCGATAGGTAAAACCGCCTTAGCTAAGATTTAGCGATCTTTGTTTTTAAAAGCAAAAAAAAACACAAAAGACGGATAAGATCCACGGGACTCAAAGCATATGGTGAGGAATGAAGCGCACATATTATTGAAGTGAAGTGCACAATCTACAAAAATTAAAAAAATACTAAAACATATATGAGTTTGGTATTCTAAATATGAAATTGCAATCGAATAACTAATCTCAGCATCCAAAATACAATAATGCCAATATTAAGTTGAGCTCTACAGAACGGACCACTTTCTAGCGGAACACTTTGCTCGTCATTATTTTAAGTAGACACTTCTCTAAAGCGCTTGGCTTCACGATAACACCTTGCTTCGTATTGGTTTTTTTACTCATAGCTTATCACAATCTGCTAGAGTCCGGATTTTGTCCATTGCTTTTTTTTTTTAGTTGTGAATAACTGCAACTAGTGGTCGTTGAGTAACTTAAGCCTAGTATAGGACGACGAGAAATGTGATTGTCCTAGAAACTAACAAAATAATATGAAGAAGAATTCTTTCTTTTTGGCTGGTAACAAGTCCTTCGGAATACTGGAAATAAGAGGGAACTGGTATGATTTAAATGAGAGAAGAAAGAATTTTATGAGCAGGAAGAATTTTATGAGCAGGACTTCCTTTGATAGATTCAGTTTGCTGGAGCTTTGCAAGTATCTTAAATTGGCATTGAAGGAGAATAGTAAAACCTGCCGAAAATGGGAGTTTAATAGTCAACTATATTCATATTTTATACCTGAACTTTAGCGTATATGGTAGATACGTCAGAGTTGTTTCTTATAAGCGGAGGAAAATATCTATTAATATCATCCCGGAAATAGGAGAAAATTTGGGTTGGGATGATTTTACAGAAAAGATCCTTAGATTCATCGAAAAGGGGGGGAATCTACAATGACCAAAGTAATGATAAGATACAAGGCAAAAGGAAGTTTGCTCAAGTTACACAGATTAAGGGTTGGCCCAAAAATGATGTCAAAGCAGTAGAAAAAGAAGGTGTTGAAGGAAATCAATTCATAATAGACAAAAGTTCGATCAAGTCAAGGGTGTAATAATCTGCATAGCTTTTTAATTGGCTATTTCGGGGACAATACAACTGTGGCTCCCATCAAATATGAAGTCTCAGAATGAGTTTGTAGAAAATAGCAGATTCCTGCTGGAGTCTTTGTAAAGGAGCTAAATGGATGGTTTTTATTATTTGAGTGTCCTTCAAGATCTGAGCCTCTGAGGCGGAAAGGATCAAGAAGGAAAATTGGTTCTTTAAGAATTTAGAACTGAGATTGGAATGGTGGTCACCGATTTGCAACTGTTATCGTGAAAAATTCCGACCTAATCATTTGTGGGTCAAATTGGTAGGCTTGCCGATTTACTTGTGGTCTGAGAGTTTATTCAGGAAAATTGGAGATCGACTTGGGGGGTATTTGGAAGTTGATGATTATTCTAGATTTAGAACACATATGAGATGGGTAAGAGTTTGTGTTCGATTCTCCGGAAATAAATTTCCGGCAAATCTAAAATTCATAGTGGAAGATCTTACTTTCACGGTTCCGGTGTGGGTAGAATCTACAGTTTGGGTGGAGAAAAGTGGCCGGAAAATTGAAGAGTTTCGCGTGAAATCGGGATTAGTAACGCAATAATTCATTGGAAAAAGAGAGATGGTGGAGCAGAGTCCCGGGGAAGGCGGAACTTCAAAATTGGGGACGTGTACGATACACATGCACATCCTTAATAATAAGTTGAATTAAAAAAGAACTTTCAAAGGCCTCAGGTTATGGGTAATGAAGTGGAGGGAGTTGGGCCAAGTGCTAATATGAATAGAAAAAGGCCCAAAGGCCAAGTCAACAGATAAAGGGACCTTAGTATGGACAATAAAAAAGGATAATAGGCACAGTCCTTATAATCAGGTGGACCCAAGTTCTGCCCTTCATTATAATCAGAGTTACGATTGTGGCTTACGATCTTTACCAAATAAAGACCCCGCGGATATCGAGATAGTGGCTCTCGAGAAATTTCATCTTCAAAAATGTCAGGAACAAATAATCGAAAATCTTGAGGATGTGCATTATAGCGATGAAGAAGCAAAGAAATTGGAGGAAGAAAATTTAGGTCAACTAGTCAGCGAGTAGTCAGAGGACGATATGATTACTGAAGATGATAATATGGAAATTATGGGAACAAAGCTGATCGTAGTTGATGATGACGATGAATTACTAAAATACTATGATGTTTCAGCGGATAATAGTAAAGAGGAATTGATATCTGAATACGAAGTAGATGCACGTGGGGATATTTTAATGCTTCTGTGGTATGAAGGATATCTGAATACGAAGTAGATGCTTCACTATACAGATATGGAGAATTTTCATCAGTCTAAGGGGAATTCCATGGGCAATGCCGGGAAGAATTCTTGATATTCTAGCTAGCTGGAATAAAGAGGGCACACTTTCGAGAGATAAAGAGAGATGGAGAATTGTCCCAACTTGTATATGGTGGACAGTCTGGGAAGAGAGAAATCAAAGATGTTTCGAAGAGAAGTCCAACAACATCCCGAAGATAAAGATAAAATGTTTAGCTCTTTTTTATTTTTGGTGTAAAGGAAAACTTTTGGAGGATAGCGTATCCATTTTAGATGCCCTAGATTCATTGTAAGAAGAATAAGGGTGAAAAGTGTCCTTTTTTGTGTAGTTTTGTATGGGCACTTACATTGTAATTATGGGTGACTTCACAATTTTAGTGAAGTCTTTATATTAATATACAAATATGTTACCTTTTCAAAAAAAAAAAAAAAAAAAAAGAAGGTGGTGTGGATTTGAAAGACAGATTGAATCAGGTGGAAGCTTCAATTTGGGTGAGGCATAATATGGTGAACTTGTGCGAACAGCTAGGGGTAAAAGGTGACCAAGATGAGGAAATTTTTTTAGAGCTCTTGATGCATATAGAAAAGAGCAAAGTGAAGAAAAAAGAGAGCTCGAGTAGTAATCCATCCCCTAGTAGATCTGAAAGAGAACTCAAATTATTGGAATTCAATATGGGGTTGAGGATGTAGAAACATGAACAAGGGTAGGGATTTGATTTGTTACACAAAATGAAGATGAATATTATATGCTGGAACATCAAGGGTCTGAATGATAAAGAAAAGAGGTGGATCGTAAGAATGCTGGTGAGGGATTGGAAAGTTGATGTCTTGTGTTTTGTGGAGACAAAGATTAAAAAAGTTAATAACTCACATATTAGAGAAATTGGTGGTAACAGATGGGTTGAATGGAGGTCTATAGAAGCTCAAGGTCGAAGTGGGGGAAGTATTATGTTCTAGGTTAAGAGGAGATGGAGATGCTTTGATGAGTTACTTGGGGAAGCATTC